GGATGGTGATTTTTAAAAAAATGTTTTTCAACACTGTGCTTCATTCCATAGCAGCTGTTTGGGTCAGCTATGAACCCTCTCAGGAGGTGAGCACCAGTGGAGACCAGCCCAGGCCTAGGGGTGTGATAACACACCCGGGTTCCTTAACAATAATGGAATTGGGTTGGAAGAATTCAGAATCTTCTTCTTGTTCTAACACTGTGCTTATATGGCAGCCATTGGCCCCACGTGGCTAGTCTGAATTGAGACATGCTACAAGTACACACTAGGTTTCAGAGACTTAGTATGAAAACAAATGTAAAATATGACACTAATATTTTTTATATTGATTGTGTGTTGAAATGATAACATTTTGGAGTATATCAGGTTAAATAAAATCTACAAATTAATTTTATGTGTTTTCACTTTTAAAAATGTGGCTACTAGAAAATTTTGAATTATACACGTGGCTCATATTGTATTTCTACTGGAAAGAACTGTTTTAAAACATATGTTTCTGGGTTCCCATTTCTTTTTTGTGTATATCAAATTCTAGAAAATTTGAAGTAGTCTTGCTTGGGAAACAAATGTTACATCATTTTCCGTTCAAAGGTCTTTTTAAAAAAGTGAAGATTTCATGTCATTTTTGTTAAGTGTTTAAGAGTGTGTGAGGGGAAGGAACACCAGTGTTTCTTAAACTAAAATTTCATTTCCTTCTCCTTTGAATGAAGCTGTAATGGCAGTCTTTTGACATTTATATTCTTTAAAACAGTAGAACATTTCCAGAATTCAGCTGCGTGAAAAGGAATAGTTCCAAAAGTGGAGATCAGCCCCACCCCTACCCGATGCACACACGTGCACCATCTCTTCTCCATGTGAGTGCCGAATATTTGGAAAGTACCTAAATGCTCAGCCCATGAGATCCAAAAGACACAAGTGCAATAACCACTTCCTGCTGTGCTGTAAGTGCTGGGCCAAGTAATGAGCAGTGGACAGAGACTAGGCATCCAGCATGCCTCAGGACTGACGACCAAACAGAAAGAGCAGCAGAGGGAAGACCCAGAAGTTCATGTGTGCAGAGTAGAGGGAGGGTAGGGTGCCCGTGGATATGGAGGACACATACATTCGCATTGATCAGGTAGGGCCTTGACTGTCAGGAAAAATATCTAGAACGTGATACAAAAGGTAATGGTCAGAATGAACTGCTGGAAGTCATGTTTTGGGGAAATCACTGCTGTCTTCTCTGCCATACTATAGTAAGTTTACGTCCCCCAGCTGGAGCACCTGATTAGACTCCACTGCCATCTAACATCATCCCTTACTCTCTTATGTGGGCATAGTTTTGCTTCCCCAAGGGAGAATGATACATTCCTCAATCAGGGCTGGGGAACCTGCGGCCTTGGGGTCACGTGATGTTCTGGATCCTTGAATGCAGCCTTTTGACTGAATCCAAATTTTACAGAACACCTGTGAAGTTTAGATTCGGTGGAGGGGGCACCCTTGGGCATCCGGAGGGCCACAGGTTCCCTTGAATATCTTACAACTTTCAGGATAGTACTAGGCACAGAGTAGGCACTCTATGCTTAAAAAAATAAACTGTGTGGAATCCCATTTTCCTCTTCTTTCACATACTTCATGAGGGACTATTAAGAGAGAATCCTAACCTCTAAGGAGGGTCCCCCAGGGGCAAGAGTGTAAATTAGTTTGCCTTCTGTCCCTTTCCCCTCCCTTTTCTCCTTTCTTTCTGGGTTCTTAACCACCAACGTTTTGCTGCTGAAACTCTTAGCCCTTGACTTGCATGTCTGGAACCCAATTTCCCTCTTCCTCCTTTCACCATCAATCTTCCTTAGGGCCCTGGGGAAAGTGTGATGTCCTTTCTTTCACCCAGACAGTCCCTGGGCCAGACTATAACTGCTTTAACCATTTGGCCTTACAGGTTCTACAACTTACCTAGAAACTATTCTGGTGAGTTCAGATGGTCAGAGAAATAAGAAAGACATCTATCAAAGAAGTTTAGAAGGAGCTGGGAGTTGCTACATGAGTGACAGGCTATTTGGCTATTCTGTGAATAGGAAATAACTTATACTCAACTGTGACTTGGGACAGGGTAGACTGAGTCTGGTTAGAGCTGTAGGCTTTCCTTGAACAGCAAAAAAAGGTAACTCTTCAAATCCCAGGAAATTTACAAAGCCTGAATTCATAATTCATATTCTCTCTCTGCCTCTCTCTGTTTCTTTCTCTCTCTCTCTCTCTCCCCCTCTCTCTCCCCCTCTCCCTCCCTCCCTCTCATTTTGTTGTCCTTACCAAATTACTTCAGGAAGAAAGAAAGGTTAACTTTCTCTTCCCTTCCCTGGATTATTCTTCAGTTAACTTTTTAGAGCTTGAATCACCTAAGAAAGCCAGTTCAATACTGTGAAAGGTAGAGAAAATGTCATGTACAAATACTTCAAGGATCCTGGGTCCTTAAACCAAGTTCTTTGTAAAGTGAGAGTTAAAATCAGAGACAGATAAACTGCAACAGGTAAGAATGAAATTTGGTTTGTAAAGGGTATTGACTCTGGGTAAACATATACATTTCATTTCATTTTTCCTTATATTGTCTGCATTGTAGAATTGGAGGTTGGCCTCTGTATCTGCTGTTATTTTTTGTTTAATAGAGAAAAGGTCAAGTGATAGTTCCTAATGGAAGTCCCTGCTTTTTTCCAGTGACTCTAGTCAGGGCTAAGACTAACCATTTGTCCAATTACAGGCACATTGTGTTGATGAAATGATCTTTCGTGGTAGGCTTGTTCTCACCAGCCCACGCCACGCAGTAACCATGCTCCACGCTTTTCCCTCCTTTGTAGCGAGGCTGGAAGTTATCCCAGTTCCCAGTCCCCGCGCTAACTCCACCCCATTCACTTCTCTCAAGAAAGCATGTCTTGTGTTTTTCAAATTACACAACCCCCAGCAATTCCGATCTTCCTCCACAGGGAGTGAATGCCACCTGTGAATATCCTCTAGTCCCCCAAAATCACTGCTTTAAAGCTAATGATCAATCTCACCCTTAAGGTTTCTTGCAGGTTAAAAAGGGATGCTTGGAGAGATAACCAGTAGAATGAGGCTCCCATGGCAGAGATTAGATGAAACAAGGAAGACACCTCTGCATTTTTACCTTCCAAGACTCTTGGCTGTTTTAGTGTCCAGTGAGCATTATTCTTTTATCTATAAGATGACGCCTATGTAAGTATTCTGGTAACAGGTTAGCCAACCTCTTAATGATTCTGTGTGAATGTGTGTGTGTTGTATAATTATTATTGGACTGACAGCCATGCACACAGTATATGAGTGTGTGTGTGCTTATCCAAGAGTGTTAAAAAAGGAGAGAGGAGCATGAACCTCTCTTCTTTCTTATTCTCCAGGCACACTATGATGAAGGAAGATAGCTTCGGCTTTAAAATAAGAATGGTTTGCTTTAAATTTTTAAAATGTTTTTTAGATAATTGTAGATTCACACGAAGTTGTAAGAAGTAATAGATCCCCTATAGACACTGCACCAATGTTTTCTCAATGGTAACATTTTGCATAGTTGTAGTGCTACATCACATCACAATCAGGAAACTGACATTAATGAAGTCCAAAAGCCTTATTTAAATTTCGCCAGTTTTACATGCTCTCCTTTGTGTGTGTGTTTAGTTCCACGCAGTTTTGCCACATATGTGATCTGCTTTTGAATCTCAGCTCTGACCAGTCTTTGCTGTGTGATCCCGAGCAAGGCCTTTGACTTCTGGGAGATCGTTTCCTCATTTGCAAATGGGTATAGGTCTGCCTCCGAAGGGTGGTGTGAGGATTAGGTAAGATAATTTCTGTCATGTCTAGAACACTGGATTCGCAATGAATGCTAGTTTCCTTCTTGTCTACTGCTTGTTCTCTCAGTAGCAAGGGACCTATCCCCGTGAGTTGTAATAAATCGGGCGAATCCTTCTTCAGGGGCAACCCCGGGCCCGGCAGCTGCCACCTTCTCTAGGCCTGGACTTGGGATCCTGTTTGACTGCATTGAGATCACAAGTGTAGGGACGGCGAGTAAGAAAGCGGAGACTTTGGGGGAGCCGTGGAGTAAGGGCAGGAGGAGGCAGTAAATACCGAGCAACCGTTGGCCCGAGAACCACCAACTCCAAGGAGCTTCCGTCCTGTGTGGCTTTTGACCGAGGGTTGGTTGTACCCTCGGAAGGCTGCGCAGGGGCGGGAGCCTATGAAGACGTGGTGGGCAGGTGCGGAAGCCAGTCTAGACCTGGAAGAAGGGTCGCACCCGCTCCAGAGGGTTCAGGGTCAAGTCTAGAGCCCTCCCGCCTACCGGACTTCCCCTCCAATGACCGCCAATGGGCGCCCGGGGGCTGGGAAGCAAAAGAGGCACCTGAATCCCCATGTTAAGGTCCCGCAGGCTGGAGGCGGGGGCCTCTCCGTTGCGCAGGGACCTTGCGGGTGGGGATCCAGGGTGCGGGGTCCGTGCGGGGGCATCAGGAAGGAAAGGGAGGCGGACCAGGCAGGGGGCCGAGGGGTGGACGCGCCAGCCCCCGCCCGGCAGCGACCTCGGGGGGCAGGTCTCCTACCGCCGCACCCCGAGCCCTTGCGTTTCCAAGTTCAAATCTCCGAGCAGGGGCTCGGCGGGCGGGCGCATCAGCGAGGGCCCAGGCGGCTCCTCCCGCTCCTCCCTCAGCTGCCGGAGCCGCGCGGGCCGCAGAGGAGGAGCCGCGCCCGGGCCGGCGTCGCCCTGACTCCTCCTCCCCGCGCGGGCCCGGCCCTTCCTCCCCGGCGTCCAAAGCTCCGGGTGGCCGCGGCCGAGCCGGCAGCCGAGCGCGCTGGGTGCGGCCGTCCCGCCGCCGCCGCCGCCGAGCCGGGAGTGCGCCAGCGGCCATGGTTCCCGCGACCGCGCCGGGCGCCTGAGCCCCGGGACGCGGTAAGTGAGCCCAACCGCGGGGCCCCCGACTCGCGGCCTGGGGGTGAGCGGGGAGGACTGGGCACCGGGACGCGCCGGGGCTTCCCCTTCCGGGCCGGGTGCAATCCCCGCGGGCAGGGAGGAAGCGGTGGCTCGGCGGCCATCCGGGCCGGGTCGCTCCCGGAGACGAGACGGGGAGGGGGCGGTTTGGAGGCGGGGAGGCGGGGCGGGCCCCGGGGGCGCGGGCGCGGGCGGGGGCGGGAGGATGCGCGCTGCAGCCCGCGGCCCCCGAGAGCCGCGCTTTTGTGAGAGCTGGCCCCTTACATATGGAAATGACGCTCGCGCGGATCCCCATTCGCGTCCTTTTGAAGGACGCCCGCCCGGAACCGCGGCGCCGGCTGCGAAGTATTGTCCCGCTTCTGCAGCCCTAACAAAGCGTCCTCCTTCGCTCCGCAGAGCACCGGAGGCGGGCGGCCGGCTGCGCGGGCGCTCCGAGAGGCCGACAGAAGGTAGGCGAGGGCGGCGGGGGCCCAGAGAGCTGCTGCCTGGTGACACAGTGGGGTGTCTGAGGTTTCTGGTGGTGGCAATGGGCAGGCGGGTCGGGGACGCATCGCAGGTTGCAGGGACGTGGGCGGCGCGCCCGCCCTCCGGCCGCACCTTCGCCTCCCCGCCCGGCGGCGCCGCGGGGTCCGGGCACCTCCGCCACTCCCGGGGCCCCAGCCGGCAGCCCCGAGCTGAAAGCTGCTACTGTATGTTGGTCCAGGAGCGAACTTGAGTCGCAGAGCGAGCAGAAAAGGTGGTGGTTCTGTAGGCTTGTGCCACCCAGACAGCCCTGTGATTGATAAGCGGAAGAGAAAGCTGCGTGGGGAAACCCGAGGTGTTAGCCTGGGCTGAGTAGCAAGAGCTGCTTGAAGCCCGTAAAGTGTGTGCGGTCAGTGCATGTGGGCAGTCTTTCCCAGTGCAACTACTGAGAACGGGGAAAGAGCAGAATGACACTCGGTTATTGCCTAAAAACCCTGATCTCCAGACCAGCGGAATGGAAGTGTGGAGGGTCGGGGAAGGAAGATTCCAGAGGCTGGGCTTCTAAAGTTGCCAAACTGGCCCCTGACAAAAGGACACCGTTGATGGAAACAATCCCCGCTTAAAGCTCTTTCTGTGAAATTACAAGAGATAGAGACAGGAAGAGGTGTTTTTCCTAGTTCCAGCCCTGACAACCCAGGGTTAAGGTACAAATAAAATGGGAGCTGGAAGGACTGTCCTACCCTATATCATGTTTCTAGACACCCAGGATAGTATGAGATCTTCTGCTTTCTTCACCTGTCTGGGACAGATCCTCTCCTGGTGTTGAGGAATTCCTGAGATGAGCTTTCCATACAACTCAACTCCTGAATTTATGAAATCGAAACAGATTTCATAGGTGTCTTTTGTGACAGCCATGGTAGCTTTGGAGGATAAGAATTCTGATAAAGTCCATCATGGCACATGAGCTGAGCTCCTGGGACCATCAGTGGTCTTCCAACTAGGTCCCTTAAATACCATAAAACAAATTTCTATCAGCTGACATGCTTCCTAAGTCTTGACAATCTACAAGGAAATGTATTCTGTCAGCTTAATTTTATCTTGAGTCTTCTCTGGTGATGAGCATATTATGTAGGTGGCTGACCTGGAATATTGGTAGATCTTGCTCTGGAGTTGAAGGGAGCTGTGAAAATTCCCAGAGTGTGTGAGTTTGTGTGTTGTGGTCTCTTCAGCTGTTGACAGTGTCCTCAGGGAGGTGATGTGAACTGCCAGGGAGTTTGTTTGCAGATTTGTTTTCTTTTGCCTGTTCTCTCCTGAGTCTTTAGAGGGAAGCATTTTGACCCACAGTGTAGATAAAGGGTAGGACTTACAAATGTTGCTAACGGGTTGGACATCAGCAAAGATATTGCCAACACAGGGAAAGACTTTACAGGGGACAACGGAGAGGAAGCCATCATAGCACAGTTTTTGCATTAAAATGTCAAGTATTAGTCATTTTAATAGGCACTTGCTTAGAATGATGTGGATTTGTTTTTTCTTACTCCTTTTTCATTTTAGATGTGTAATGACCCTTAATATCAAAAGATGTTAACTGTCACAGAGGGGAAGAATAGGGCTCCAATGAATTCTGAACAGCCAATCTTAATTTAATAGGCAGTATTCTTATCTTGAGTCAAATGTTCAAATAAATTGTTTTAAATGTCACTGCAAATGACTTTCTAAACTAACATTTCCCTAGTCTTGATGCTTCCATTTTATGTTGGTAATGAAAATACATTTTGTCAGTCTTACATTGATAAAGGGTTGGCAAGTTTAGCCCAGAGCATTTTAGAGGGATTCAAACAGCATAAAGCCTTTTCAGGGGGTTTATTTTTATAGATGCCAATTCATTTATAAGCCAATAAATAATGTGGTTTGAATTCTGGCTATTGAACTTGCATCTGTTGGGGAGGGGCTTATGGAGAGACTTAGTAAAGCTTGCAAAAAGATATTTTTATCGTATTTACAAATAAAATAGAATTTTGAAAAGATTATGGGATTAGGACACTATTGCAGTTTATATCAGCAACTAACCATTTATTGAAGCTTTTGGATAGAAAAATTACAAAGCATCAATACCCTAATGCTCACTTAAAAAAAAAAGTTGAGCAAATATTATTTATAGATGTGAGAAGAGCAGCTTTTTTTTTTGAGACAAAGTCTGGCTCTGTTGCCCTGGCTAGAGTGCCGCGGCGTCAGCCTAGCTCACAGCAACCTCAAACTCCTGGGCTCAAGCCATCCTCCTGCCTCAGCCTCCCAAGTAGCTGGGACTACAGGCATGAGCCACCATGCCCGGCTAATCTTTTCTATATATAGTAGAGATGGGGGGGGTGGTCTCACTCTTGCTCAGGCTGGTCTCGAACTCCTGACCTTGAGCGATCCCCCCGCCTCAGCCTCCCAGAGAGCTAGGATTACAGGCGTGAGCCACCGCTCCGGGCCAGAAGAGCAGCTCTTTACTTATACCCCAGGGAACTACATTCATATCTTCAGGCGTCCTAAATTAATTTGAATAAATATGGCTCAAGAAGTGAAAGTTGTTATAAGCTTTCTCTTTTAAGAAAAAGTAACATTGTTACAAGTTTTCTCTTTTTAAGAAAAAGTAACAAACATGCAGCTCTGTTTTCTGCTTCTGTAATTTTACTTAGTAATTGATTACAGGCTATTGAATGTGCATTGTGCTAGGCTAATGGGTTTTTTCTTTCCTTCCAGCTACCCTGAGTTAACTACTTGATTGGGTAATCCACCTGCTATTAGGTGTAACAAAAGCCTGGGTTTGCTACATCCCAGGATAGTAAAATACTAAAGCTTGTTTGCATTTTAGAATAAATATTAGTAGGCTACCCTTAGTTAAATTAAATTTTAAAGTGTAGTCAGCAAAGGTTGATATTTTCTTTCAAATTTATTTAATATGACTTTTTTCCTGTGCAATGGCATTTAAGATTTTATGTTACATTTTTGATCCACAGTTTTATTACAGCGATACTGTTGTGCTTTTGGTATCCAGCCAGAGTGAGGTGCTATCTGAGCAGAGAGGAGGTATCTGACAATAATCAGTTTGCTGCTGAGCAGTGATGAGTTTTGGCAGGAGTATTCTTCATATAAACTCCTAAATGGCAGCAACTGCTTTTTCTGTTGAGCTTTTGCTAAACTTGAATTTATTCTTGTCACTCTTTCTTTTTGTACTGAAATTAGTCCAAAATGGTAAGCCTGGAAATCTTTGCAGCAGATTAAAGTATTTGCAGAAAAGAAACACTTTCATTTGATCATTGACATTATTAGGCTCCGAGTTGCCAGACAGGGAAAGCTAAAGGCATTGAATGGAAAGCTTTGCCAAAGCAGGGTTTGTTGGTCTTCATCCCTTCGGCTCCAGAGTAACTAAATGAGTCACTTGGTGGTCACTGCCTGGTCTGTGAACCCCCAACAGCTATGTCTGAACACAGGTCCAAAATTATCTATTACGATGCCCTCTTGAGGAAAGCGGCACGGTGAAAGGGGCATCAGACAGTCTAAGGAGCTGTTCAGCTGCTGGACCATCTGGAAGGGAAATAAAAGGCTTGGGCTAGGGGCTCTAGCATTGTGCTTGTTTGTTATTTGGTTTTCATTTGCCAGACTTTGTCCCCTTTTCACTCCCTCCAAGCCAGAACAGACGTCCCCTTTGGCTTGGGTGCCAGTCTTACAAGCTCCGAAAGGTTGGACACTGGAATGTACATAAATTCACATATCCTCTTCATTATTCCAGCCACACCTCCATCATTTCTTTTACAGTCTCACTTGGCACTGTGATTTCATCAGCTGGGGTAATGGACATCCCTGTCAGGGTCTGCAGCATTTTGGCAGCCTTGTTTTGAGTTATTTGGAAGGAAAATGCTCCAAATAATTCTCATTATGGGTGGTTATTGGGTGGTAAATGTTTTGATTAATGGCTCTGTGCATCTGCCCCTTATTTAACCATGCCTAGTTAGAACTCCTAAATATTGCCCACACTGGCTTTTTCGTTCCAAAGGAGTCATAAAGCCTTCTAACAATTTGGGAAAGGAGATGGTGAGGGGAGGCCCAGGCTTATGGCAGCCTTCATAAAACTAGAATTGTTCTTTCTAGTTTGAAGGAGGGTTTATCACTCAAAACCCAACTTTTTAAATCTCTGAGTAAGATTCCGACTGCTGGTGGGTACCAGTTAGGGTTTACCTCTGGAAAGCACTGGATGTCACAGATTAGACATGTATTTATTTTGCAGAAGTAATTTAACAATTATCAATTCCTGGGCAACACCTGTTGTTGAAGATACGGAACTCTTCATGATCATTTTTATATAAAAAATTATTTCTTCCATTCCCTAAATCCCAAAGGTGCTTTAGAAAAAAAGAAAATGCTTATTCTATCTGTGTATCCCTAGTGCCTTGTAGGCTATAATTATTCAATAAATGGATCAAGGGACATAGGGGGAAAGGAACCTCACCTCTCCCAATTCCAATTTGGAAAACCTTGTGACCATAGAATATTCCTTGGTAGCTTCTGACACTCAGTACTGTTCGGCTGACCAACACATAAAGGTGGAGACAAGTGGTTTGCCAGTGGTTTCATCTCAGTGGTCCCACTCATGTGTTCTGTGTGCATGTGTAGGATTGAGATACTATAATTTAGAGTCACACTAGAGTTCAATCCCCATGTTAAAAATGCTCCATCCCCATATTAAAAATGCTCCATCCCCATATTAAAAATGCTTTGCCAAGCCCCAATTTCTACATCTCAAATGGGAAAATGATAATATCAACTTCAAATGATTAGAAAGACTAAATGAGATTGTATGCACACCATGTTTAATGTAAGCTGGACTCATAGTTAAATGCTCAGAAGTTAAAAAAAATTATTTCTTCTGAATTCCCAACTACAGTTCATCCTTTTTGCTTTTATTTGACATTAAATTTATCTATCATCTGCCTCTAAAGGTCAAGGAAGCTCTGACATTACTTGCTGCCATTGTCATTTAGTAATAAAATGATGTTTATGTACATAGTATATCCCCTGCCCATGCTTGCTCTCTGTTGTGTGGCATGCTCCTGCTTTGCTTCTTTGAAGGTAGATCTATGGCTGATTGGCTTGTTTAAGCTACCCCCTCTTCGGTTCACCCCTCCTTTGTAAACCACAGGTATTCTCTTGGTTGTTTTCTCAATTTCCCTCTTGTGTTAACTTTCTCTGGGATTAGCCAGTCTCACTTGCTTGTCACATTGAACCCTCAGAGCCACGCTTCCAGATGGGCATTGTTTTTCTCATTCTATAATCGAGGGCACTGAGAAAGTGTTTTAGTACACATTCTCCTCCAAAGTTTCATCCTGTAACACAAACATGCAGCTGAAGTTTGTGAATCCATTGACTTAATTCCTAGTCCGTCAAAGTAAACTTCAGATAGCTCTACACAGTGCAGTTTGGCAGTCAGTGTTGGTTTTCTACCTCTGTTGGTTATTTCTGAGACTGAAGATGCCTTTGAGAAAGGGCTGGATGGGGAGGTGGAGTGTGTATGTGGAAGAAATAGGCACCAAATGATTTTCGTATGCTCTTTTCTGTAGCCCTCATGCGGGGTAAGTTTCTTCTCAAAAATATCCATATACTAAGTCCATGATATTTACTGAGTCCCGGTGTGAAGAACAGACTGACTGTGCTATGCATTTGGGGGAAGATATGAAAAAAAAAAAAGAAGGCATGGTGGAAATTAAAGAAATTTCTGCCAAGTGGGGAGAAAAAAAATTCCTGCACATGAAATTACGGATGAACATTTGGGGAATAATATTAACCAGTAAAAATGCATTCTGTGCCAGATGAGTACTGACAACTTGTCACCATGCGTAACATCTCCTGGATGTTTCAGTACGAGCATTTGTTTCACAGGGTTGGGGCTTCCTGCCCCCGACCCTACAGTCAAAAGAATGTTTTTCTAAGCACAGTGTCTGGAGAAGGAGGGAGATAAAGAGAGTTTTAAGAAGGAAAACTGCTGTAAAATGAAAGAGATTTGGTTTAGTGAAAATCCAGTGACCTCCCAAAGGGTGGGGCATAAGAGTTTATCAAATTCAAAGCAGCAGATAAGATCAGGAATTCTTAGCACGTTGTTTTATTGCTCTCTTCTGTTGGTTTAGATGGGCAAATCCCCTTCCATTAAAACTAATCTTAAAAAAAGGGAAGTCTTAGAATGCTTTTGCTTTTGCGTTTTTAAGCATATATGCAAAACCAAGCAAAAGCCGAGTAGTCTGGCATTTATGAAGTTGGTCAGAGTATAGTCCAGGGGACCATAAAAGTCAGAGTGAGACTGAGCTGTGGCAACACTGAAAATCCCAGAGCACCTTGGGGATTCTCAGCAGATCTTAGTTGACAATTAACTGGTCAACTCTAAGTGAATCTCATTAGCCAACCCTTAGCCTTGTCTAAATTCTTAGCTCTTGTGGCTTTGCATAACACCTTGGTGTTTCTTTATTGATGCTTTGATGTTTATATAGCACTCTTGACTTATTTTGAAAACATTTACATAGTGATTAGTTAACCCAACAGACCAACCCTGGGAAGACAGCCAGAGCCAGCCAGCAGTACCTTAGTAATAGAAAAACTGATAATTACGAGACCTGTCCAAGACCAGGAGCCTGGACCAAAAGTGTGCCATGTAACTTTAATGAGTGGCCCTGATAAAAACTGAGCTGTGTGGCAGAGCTGTTCACATTCATCTTCTGAGTCCACTTAGTTCTGCTGAAACCCTTGGGAAAATTGTGGCTCTGTTCTAGCTTGTCATATGTTGAACAGCTGTCTATGGAAAGGAGGCGATTACGCTCTAGAGCAGGACTGATTTGTCATAGAAAGCCTTTTATTTTCGGTTCTGACCATGCTCAACATCTTAGCTTACATGTGTCCACGTTGTAGCGATCTGCTTTGTGGAATAGCTTGTAGCGATCTACTTTGTGGAATAGCACCTCTAAGAGAGTTTTCTCTCACTTGCTTTGGATTAGTTAAAGGTGCTTGGTTAGTGAAAGGTGCTGCTTTTTATAGCCAAGGGGCTGGTTCTGAGAGCTTTGTTGCAGATGGCTGAGGTCATGGTCTCAAGGGTATACGTTGCATTTGGCCTCCATTGCGTCATGGTGAAAGTACGCTCAGATGTGCAGGCTTCAGGCTTTCATCGGAAGATCCAGCACAATAAAGATGAATTATCATGCAAGGGAAAAAAACCTAGATTTTGTTCTTAAAGTTCAAGGTGTCTGGAATTTTATGATGTGTATTTTTAGCAAAAATGACTCTGAGAGTTATTGATGACTCCAAGTTTTGACTGATCCTAAGGAATGTGGCAAAATGGAAGGCCTGGGGTATGGGTAGGTCAGAGAGATGGAAGATGGGTTAACCAGGCGTAAAGGGGTAAGATGCTATAGACAGCAGAGGCGCCCTGAGGTGCTGTATGATTCGTATAAGCCAGTCTGTGTCTCTTTCAAACCTCACCGTCTGAAAGGTTGGAGCAGTGTTTTCCCCTTTCTCTAGGCAACTAAGCATTATGTAAAACTCCCTGGGACTAACGTGAGCTTCGGGGAATACTTTTCCTGTCACACTTCATCTAATTGCACCAACGAAGTTAATTGAGTTGCTTTTTGAGGAACTGGTGTAAAAGGCATTTGGTCTCTTGTAAACAAGGAGGTGGTTTTGTAGCAGATGAGTTCATCTACTGCTTCTTGCTGTAGTTTCTGGTCTGACTACTGTGGGAGGCATCTAGGCTGAACAAAGTAGAACTAATCAGCTTGGCCACCCTGGCAGATTGCAACATCTGGACAGGAGGTCTAGAGCTTGCTGACTTGCCTGCGTCTTTGGCACTAGTCATTAGTTCATTTGAGTGGTCTTGCTGTCAAAAGTGGCTTTTCACCTTCTTTACGTCCTGGGCCAGAAGAGCCAATAGAGAACTGCTGTCTGCTTTGAGTGTGACAATCTGGCCATCCGCCCGGGGACCAGGCAGGAGAGGAGGGTATCTTCCTGCCTTCGTGACCCCCTCATTCTGGTAATGTTACCCCCAGTGTAATCGACCTTGTGGATGCGTCCCTGGTGTGGGTGCGTGTAGGAGCTCCACTGGCCGGGGCTGGGCTGGGGAGAGACCCGTGGTCTTGCCGTGGGTATTCCAGAAACAGAGTGTTACATATAGACCATTCCCAAGGGGCTGGTGGGGTGCAAGGGAGCTGAGGGTGCCTGGGGTGACCACGGTAGCCTTTAAGGGGCTGCCACAACCTGTCCTTGTCTCTGTCCTGCACAGGTGAGCGCTGTGGGCTATGGGATGGATGAGGTGGAGCAGGACCAGCATGAGGCCCGACTCAAGGAGCTGTTTGACAGTTTTGACACGACGGGCACCGGGTCTCTGGGGCAGGAGGAACTCACTGAGCTTTGCCATGTGTTGAGCTTGGAGGAGGTGGCCCCCGTGCTGCAACAGACGCTACTTCAGGACCACCTGGGCAGGGTAAGGTCTGGGGAGGGCACGGTCTGTGGGAAGTGGGGTGCGGTTTCTGTCGGGGTGCTGGAGGGGGGCAGACCATGCATGTTGCAACTTCTTTCTAGCATCCTGGCTGTTAACCTGATAAAAAGGATGCAGTGGGGGTGACATAACAGTACAGTTTGCCCAGGGCACGAGGGCCTGCTTTAATATGTGCTCTGGAATTCAGGTGTTCACTGAGCATCTTAGATGAAGAGAGAAAAGGAGGTAATGAAAGGATGTTTTGCAACTTTTGTCTTGTTCTTTGTGAATTATTTTATTCACTCCACATTCATCATTTGGACAGAAAGGAGGAGGGCGAGGTTTCCATTGAAGAGAAGGAAACTGCAGTAAGAAAACTGCCATTCACAGAAAGAGCAGATTTCTGTTTTGACTTTTACTCCCAGTAAAGTTATTTCTTGAGTGGATTGTTTCCGGGTGAAGTATTAATTAAACCTTTCACCCAGGAAGTAAGACAGGAGGGTAAGTAAATACAGTGCAGGTTCATTCAAAACCCAGCATGACTTGCTTCCAGCAGGCGTGCGTGTGTGTGTGTGTGTGTGTGTGTGCAAGTGTTAGCTTCTATGTGTGACAGCAAATAGTCTTCCCATACATCAAGTCACAGACATGAGTAAGAGGAGAGAAGGGGTCTTTTTCTTGCTGATAGTGGGAAGGACATTAGATCTGTCATGACCTGAGATTGCCTTCAGTCTCATAATTAATAGCGTTGTTTATATGGCTTTGAGTTGTGTCTCTTACTGTTGGTTGTTGGAATGATTGAGAGAAAAAAAATGAACAATGCTTTTTGAGTTCTGTTGCTATCATTGCTGACACCATAGACAGTGGTTTTTATCACGTGGTGTAAACTGAGGAAGCAGTCATGAGGCTTAACTTTATGCTAGCATCGGAAACTTCCTTTTATTCATTTCATTTTCACTGTCTTTTAGCTGACAAGATGGGTAAGTGACCTCAGATACAGTATCATGTATTGGCTTTCTGTAACCTGAGACAGACAGGAGTAGCGATCATCCTGAAATTAATGTACAAAAGATGATATTCTCAGGGGCTTTGCAACATGAATGTGGTGTTAAACAGGGCTCACACTTAAAGAAAACATGAGTTCTTTGCAAAAACTGGGGCCATTCTGGCCCTGGATTAGCTGCTTGTGAATACACATGGTCTCTGTAAAAATGCTAAAAATCTTGCTTAAAATATCTTAAAATGGGAGTTTTGAAGATTGAACCATTTGCTCCTCATCATGTAATGCACTCAAACGTTTTTGAGTTCTACCTCAGCCTTAGACACTGGAACAAAGGAATGGCGTCTCCCAGTGTGGTCCTTGGGGATCTCAGGCCTTTTGGTGTCTAAAGAATAATATTAAAGGATGAATCTGTTTTGATGCTTATTGAAGCCTGAGAAGACATAATACAACTTAAGGCTTCCTTGAGATGTTTTCTCAGAGTTAGGGTAAATATGGAATCCTCTGCCCTAAACAGATTGCACTTTGGCAGCAGATTAACAGTTTGCTCTCCAGATGTTGCACGTTTGTGCCCTCGTTTGGTAGACTAAAACAGGGAACAGTTATCGATTGATTTGTTAATGACTTGACACTACCAGCCTGCGTCTTACGTTTGCTATTTGCCTGAATAATGAATACCTAAGTGGTCTATAGTGTGATATTTACTTAGTGAGCCAGTGATAAAAGTTAAATAGATGTATGCATATTGATTTTGTGTGGGACATCCCTGGTGATTGTCTTGAGAACAGGGTTGGCATGAATTAAAGCACGACTGTGAAATTTGCATTTTTTATGAAACTGAATTATTCTCAGATGATCACACAAACTTGGCCATATGCTGTTAAGATACTCTATACAGTCTACACTTTTATATTGTAAGGAAAAAATTCCTTAGGATTCACTGAAGCAATCCAAGTGCTATCGCTTTCATGATATATTGAGTAGGGATCATAAGTTATAAAATTATAAGTTTTTAATACCATTTGTTTCTCTTTAGAAGGTATTTATAGAAAAACTTATAAGGGTTAGCAGCTTGGTTTAATAAAAAGAGAAAGAGCAACATGACAAATCTCAATATATTCATCTATTCATTAATTCAACAAATACGTATTGTATGTGTTCTGCATGTCAGGCATTCCCTTAGTCTTATGGGATGGATGCAACTTATTTATAGTTATGTTTATCATAAACTACAGTTTTCCATTAAATTGGTTTTTGGATGCGTTAGTATCCATCAGCTTCCTGGATGCTTGTGGCTTTAATTTTGTCTTTTAAATCTTAAGGGGTATAATTTTTAAATAAAACAAAACTTCCAAATTACCTATATTGGAATTGGGCTGCATTAATCATTTTTTCTTGAAAAATGAATAAAATAAAAAGCATTGTCCTTCTCAACCAAGGATATTAATATTGTCTGTAGATTTTTTAATTTTATAATCCATCTTCAATAGCTTTTTTTTTTTTTTTAAACCTAATGTTTCTTTTAACAGTTGTTAAGGAAAGTAACTTAAATCAACTTGACATTTTCATGCATTTTACTATAAGGTCATTTCCCCCAAAATTATATTTCAATTCATCTGTCTCGCTTTATAAGTTGAAGCCCTATTCCCTTGAGTGCAGTGGTTACTTATACAAATGTTTGAAATGCCCAAAGCTTGTAGATCCCTGATTTGAAGGAAAAGGGGACATTGCTGGTGTTTCCTAGCAGGTTATCAAAAGGAATCCATCCATCTTTGTCATCAGATAAGCACTTGTCAGCTGGGTGATGTCCCAACACCAGGGGCTCCTCAAGACACGGAGGAACTTATAGGCTAGTCAGGTAATATACCTGGCTGGTGAATAGTACAGGGAGCAGATACTATAAAAATCTGAAACAGGGAACAATGAACCAAGTTTTATCCAAGCAATTGATACCAACTGTAGGTACTTCTGTTTCTTCTGTCTTTTAAATGAAGTGTTTCCACATGCCTCTGTATCTCTTTTATTAGAAATCGGGGCATAAAGAGACAATTTGCCTTGGTTTTGTTGAAACCTTTACTTATATTCAGTTTTCAAAATGTATTTTCCTTTCTTTGTGCAGTATAGTAACTTTGAGACAGAACAACCTCCTAAAGTCCTGAAGAGTTTTATTGCCATAGTCTTTAATATGAATTTGGATGCTGAAATACTCCATGTCCCTGGCACTCTTTAGAATGAGAATGAGCCACCTGACAGTAGAATTCCCCATTGGTTTCCAAAGAGTCCCATAGGTATGTGGACTTTGGTTGTCAAAGGCACTTTTTAGAATTAATTTTTATTTCTTTATTTTTTGGAGATGGGGTCTCACTGTGTTGCCCAGGCTAGACTCAAACTCCTGGGCTCAAGTGATCTCAGCCTGTCTCAGCCTCCCAAGTAGCTGGGAATACAGGCACATGCCTTAGCACCCAGCTAATTAGTATTAAAATTTTATAGCCGTATAAATAGACCCTTTGGCTCAGCCTTCCCACCTTTCATTTTAAAGTGCTTGGGGTTTTTAATATATGTCATGATTAATTTCATGTGGTAGATTTGCTTATTTGTTTTCAACTCATTAAAAGCTTTTAAAGGTTTCTTTCTCTTATACACATTTTTATCATTTGAAGAGTAAACTGTAAATAAAGAAGTTCTTTCTGTTGGTGATTATTTGGATTCGTTCTTTGTGTGCAAAATTGTGCTCAATCATCAAATAGTGCCTACCCCATGATAGGCACTACTTATTTATAACTACCCCCATGATCATGCTTCTGTTTCATATTGTTGATCTGAGGCCTTTTGTACGTATTGGAAGGGATGGTGGAATCATTTCTCATTGCATCTCTCAAATGTCTGAACATTTGCTTTATCTTAGTGTTTAACCATCATAGTTTAACCTGAAATGGTGAGGTTTATTTTTTTTTCATTCCCATGTTGGTCTTGTGACTCTGGATAAACCACCATTCCTTTCCTTTACAAGAATCTCATTTGGGGTTGATTTGAACTCCTAAGGGTCTGTGGTTCCTCATTTACAGATAAGAAGATCTTCTCATTAGGAGGCAGTTAGACTTGCTTCTGTATTAATACTTTCTCATCAGACTCATTGCAAAATCAGGTTTGGTTTTGTATACCATAAACCCCTGAGTCTGTTACAAGGTATTTAGTGTCCCCCTTGGGCAGAGGGGAGAGCTATTGGCCTTGAACTCTGAACAGCAAGTAGGAACAAGTGCTAAACGGCTATTGTCTTCTACCTACTTTATTTCATAATACCCATCTCCTTTGCCAGAGAAGATACGGTCAGGAATGCTCATTAGATTTCACCAATATCCACTGATACTTGTATGCATAGCTTCATGTCTGGATGCAGAGACTTAAAGTTCTGCAGTGTCCATCACAGATTTTAGACTTCAGAGTTTATCTGTATGTCAGAGAAACATAGAACCTGGAAAGGCCTGTCCAAGATCAGACAACTTATTTGAGACAGTGCCAGGATGGCCTCCCAGACTTCCCATTCCCTGCATTTGAATGCATATCTTCACAGTTCCCTCAAACTCCAAATATGCAAGACTGAATCTCATTCTCCATCCCCCTCCAAACACCACCACTACCACCATTACTGTGTCAAAATAGTATAAGAGCAGTCTTTGAAGTCAGACCTGGATTCAAGTACTGCCTCTTGCCACTTCTTAGCCATGTGAGTGTGTTATCTTAAATACTCTGAGCCTCAGTTTCTTCATCTGTTTAATGGGAAATATAATACCCTCCTTACGAGATTGTGATGACTGTTGACTGAGATTGTGTATGTCAAAGACTTATCATAGAGCCAGGGACACAGTTAACCCATTTTATCTGGCTGTATGCTCTCCTCTACCCCCTACATACCCAGAACAGGTTTTGATAAATAATGACTTCCTAGTAATGATTTTCTAAGGAAGTTTGTTAGAGTGGAGAATGGGTGTCTAGAAGCCCTGTTGTGTGG